CCCCCAAAACCCCAAAACCCCAAAACCCCATGAACGGTCATGATAAAGGAAAAGTTAGGGAAGCAATTATAATTAAAATGTCTATTTCTAACACTCCTTCCAAAAAGGATAAGTTCCTCGTCTCCCTTGGTGGGTATGATGGCAACCTCTTTGGAGTAGAAGTTAAGTGTAATCTTGCATTCCTTTCTGAGCAAGAGAAGAAAGAATCTCCAAAGAAGAAGAAAGGGGAGGAAGATCTCCCAGTTCCTGTGAATGAGGAGGAAGAGCAGGCTAAAGCTGATTCTAAAACATTAAAAAGAGGGTTTTATACACATTCTAAGTTTGCGTTTAAGGCTACTGAAGGATCAATTAGATGTATGGCCAATTGCAAGAGATTCCTTGCAATTGGAGGTTACGAAGAAGTCATTAAGATTTTTGATCTTGATAAGAATATTGAAGTGGGAGAGTTGATAGATCATAAGGGCACTATTACTTGCCTCAAGTTCTTCCAAAATCAGTATCTGTTGAGTGGTTCAGATGATGGAGAGGTGTTCATCTGGAGAGCCAAAGATTTTCAACTGATTTATAGATTAAAGTTGCCTAAAGCGAGCCCTGTTATGGATCTAGCAGTTCATCAATCTGGAAAAATTGCTCTTGCCTTATATAAATCAAACCATATGGTTCTTTGGGATTTAACAAAGGGAAAAAGTAAGCTCAGAAAGAAGGTGAGAAGTGATACCATCAGCATTAAATGGGATTTATCAGGGAAACACTACTTAATCTTATGTGAGAAATCAATTGCTGTCTTCAGTATTACTGAAGATAAGCCTATCAACATTATCAGTTTTGAGGAAAAGGTTAACGATTTCGACTTTATCTCAAAGTCGATCATCCAGACTGTTAATGAAGATGATGGTGAAGGTGAAAGCGATAGTGAGGTTCAAAAGGAAAAACAAGAGGAATTAGATGATGTATTCTTTAAATTCTTACTTTTTTAGGTCTTGCTTGTGTTAGGAGAAAAAGATCATCTACATTACATTAGGAATTGGAAGACACCAAATCCAGAGACTACAGCTTTAAAGACTAATCTTGGTAGACATAGAAAGATCCAGGTGACCCCTTGCAATTCAGTAAGAGTATTAACTAACTTTACAGGCAGAAACAAGTGATTCTTTACTGACCATTCTCAATTCTAAAGGAGTAGCTAGCTTTATGAAAGCTAGTGATCTTGCTGTGCAAGTGTACCTTGCTGATGGTGAACACTCAGGTCTTGGCTCTGACTCTGAACAAGGTGAAGGAGAGAATGATGATAGCGAAGAAGATAGCAAGGAAGAAAAGAAAGAAATTGCAAAGGATAAGGAAAATGTTGAAGAAATTGAGCTCTGTAAGGAAAATAATGATCATATTTAGATTTCCCAAAGAAATTGGAATATGAAAGCAAAATCTTAACCTTCTGTATTTCCAATGTAAGATAATGTTTATAATGAATAGATCTCAAAAGAAAAGAAAGAGGAAGAAACAAAAAGAAAGCGTAAGAAATCAGCTGAAAAACCTAAAAAGAAGCATAAAAAACAGAAATCAGAAGAATAACTTCTATACACTCTAAACCTCACTCTCTGAGTTTCAACAATCAACAAAAACCGTGGGGTTTTGGGGTTTTGGGGTTTTGGGGTTTTGGGGTTTTGGGG